ATAAAAATAACAAAATCATACAAGAAATCATATTAAATACGTGATTTTATATTGTATTCAAGAAAGCTACCAATTCTACTTGTATAATCATTTCTATAGCATAAACAAATTAACCAACTATTTAAAGAACTTGAGTACAGATTCTTACGCCATAATTAATATGTCTGCGAACTGGAAAAATGCTATGTTGCTTAGAGATCTTGTATCTATCTGTCTGTGTGAAAACAAATTAAACCCATTCCTTACTAAAAGAGATGCTCTATTCTTTTGAGCACCAGCAATACAAGAAAAATAAAAGCTTCTTCAAAACAATATGTACAAATTCACTTGCTTACTTCGAAAACGTTTCTCTATGCATTATAATTCAAGCAAAATATACATTGATTCCACAACCACGACATTATCACGCCGATTAACCATTTATCAGATAATAGGTCAATTAGATCGCATATCACTACTGACACAACAGCTAAAAAAAATAAATAAATAAATACAAGAAATCCGGAAAATCTTTATCAATATAAACTGTAAAAATCTGCAACAAATATTAAGTATTAAAAACAGTCGACATAAGAGAAATATAATTTAACCAAATTTGGAAATAAATCTAATTAAAAAAAAAACAAGAACTGCCGTGTGAATATTGAAGAAAAGTGATATTTGAAAATGATGAAACCGACATAGCACAAAAACACGGTTTGATAATGGTCTAAATTTCTGAGATGTGAAGTTATTATTTACACTATTTATATCCGGGCTATTATCGTCATCTTTGTTGTTTTCATCACATGTTATACATATTTATTATTCGCCCAAAAGAAAAACTCACATGCACGCACGGACAACAGACACAGACACGCAACACCCACAGACACACACACATACATCTATATCTATAAAAGGCAGGATGTGTGTGTATGTGTGTAACGAATGCACAGCCGCAATTTTCGACGGAGTTGCACCAAAATTTACATGCACATGCTCCAAGTTAGCGGGAAAGCCAAGACCGACTTTGCATTTCCCAACTCCGATCAATAGTGGAAATAATCAATTTTTTCATGCTTCTACGGCAGTTTTCATGTAGTTTGCGGCCATTTTCTACTGGCCACAGTGAGAGTCTATAGCTGGCTGCCACGAATAGGCAGGAAAATTCTATTGGCCAGCGTGAGAGCCAACAGCTGACTGACACGAATGTTAACTAGCATGTTATCATGCAAAAAAAATCGATAGCTACATTCGTCACAATTTGGAAAAATTTAAATCTGCATGGCACTTTACTCCAATTGGCTCATTCGCTTGCTTAAACTCGACGTTGATTCTGATTCCGCAGAACTGGGTTGGGTGTGAAAAAGTATTGTTGTTAACATTCTTTTTTCATTCGGTTTTTCCAGTTACGAGTCCTTTTTAAAAGCTGATCGTTTTGTGTTCATTTTGTTTAGTTCTTTTTTCGTAACAGATTTAATGTTTAGTATAGAGCTTAGAAAAAATTCGCAGTGTGAGATAGACAAGAAGTAAGGCATGTAGCAACATCAGCACAGCAAAGGGCACTCCTTTAAAGGCAAGGAAGTGCAAAAGTCAAGTGATAGCGATTGCTGTATGAGTCGTACGATTTTTTAATCAAGCACGGGCAACGCCAGGCCATGCTGCTAGTTACATATAAAGAATGAAATGAATAAATTGTATTCTAAATTATGCAAAATGAAAATAACACTGACATCTAATTTTAAAAGATGTATATATTATACACTAAAACAAATTCATATTATAACAAAAATATTTATGCATTATTTTTTTAATAATATATATATATATATATATATATATATATATATATATATATATATATATATATATAGGGTGTTCATATATTTCGTGTGCACTTTAAAAAATTATAATTTTATTTGTATTTGCGATAGAAATAATTTGTAAAAGGATTAGAAAAAGTAAAACTATATTATTTCAGGTTTTATTGAAATCTAATTTAAGTTTCCACATATCCTCCATCATTAGCAATACAAAGGGTAATACGATTTTGCAGTTCACGCAAAACATTCGCCAATTGATTTACAATAATGCCTGAAATCACATTAATCATTTTAACTATACTTAAAACTAGGTACTTTAAACTTTATAACATTTTTTACAGATTATTTCTATCGCAAATACAAATAAAGTTATAAATTCTTTAAACTACACATGAACTTTATGGACACCCTGTATATATATATATATATATATATATATATATATATATATATATGGTGCGATGCATTAATTGTTATGTAAATGAAGCAAAAATGAAAATATTAGTGACATCTCATTTTAACAGATATATTTACCAAGATTACACTAAATATCTTGAAATGCTAAAAAGTAAATCAATTCAATAAAATCACAATTGTCTTCAACCATAGCCTCCAGATGACTTTGGAATCTCCTGTAACTCTTCTGGACGGTCTCCTTGTTTAAGTTAATGAATGCTGCCATAATCCTTAACTCCTTGAGTTCACCATTTGTATTACAAGAAGTCTTGTTGGTCTCTCTCTCTCAACTGCGTCCCACAAATATTATTCCTCAGACTGCCACTCAAGTGAGTGGCATTTTGAGGAATTAGGTGGCTAGATGTAAGGGGTGATGTAGCAACAGAAATTGTCTGACAGCCATGATTGGGTCCCCCTGTTTGTGTGCCATGGTGCAGAGTCCTATTGCCAGACATAGGGTCTTTCAGGGAACAGTAGAGAGTAAAACGGGGTCAGGAGTCCACAACAGCAAGAGGGATCATCATTTCAACTTAGAGCTAAAGAGATCAACTAGAAAAGATCCAACTCAATTCATAAAAGGTTTGGCATTTGAGAGAAGAGTTTCAGCTATGACAGTCCAAATAGCAATGAAAAAAAAATTAAATAAAATCTTACGTGAAGCATATGAGGCACCTTGTTACTCCAAGGCAGAAAGTTAGAAGGTTAGACAGGGCGTAGTTCATCATGAATTAGTTGGAAAAAATCTTTCAATAATATATATATATATATATATATATCATGAATCATTCATACAAAAAGAGATATTGAAGTTAATGATATAAATGGTAAGAATACATCTTCGCAAACAAATTTAATAAAGTACATTAACCCCGAACCTGTAGATGAATGTTACTTCAATATCTGTTTTTTGTATGAATGATTCATGTAATATAAATTGTACTGCACCACATATTTTATATATATATATATATATATATATATATATATATATATATATATATTTATATATATTTCAATCATTCATAAGCTTCCGATTATGAGTTCTGATCAATTAATGATGAACATGTCATTTTCTTTAATGACCGATTTCATCACAATTCTTCAGTTAAGCTTGGAGAGTAATTACGGATTCTTCATGCTTAAAGTAGAGCCCAATAATGTTATAAAAACCTCAGAGAATTCCAGTAAGATATCTTTAATCATTTCTAAGATACAATGGTCAAAAACTTAATCTATCAAACGGAAAATTTTGCTTTTACACGATTCGGACAATTTTGTTGTTACACCGGTATATATATATATATATATATATATATATATATATATATATATATATATATATATAGTATCCATGGGTTTTTTGAGACCCAGTGGATATGCGAACGAAGAGTTATGGCTCAGATGTTTATAAGCTGTAAGGACCCACATGTGAGTGAAAGTCTCGATTGCAGTGGGTGCATGTGAAGACACTCCGCCCCAATGTCTCCGTGCTGTTTTGTTTCCTTAGAACACATTTCTACCCCGGCGACATGCCTTCGTTTCTCCTCGCCTCGCTGCAGCCGTCCGTGTAAATTGTGTCTTCAGCGTTAGCAATCTTTGGCGACGTCTTCCTCTCGATGTCCCTGTCCGTCGCCCTCATGTTATTTACAGTGGTTCACGCTTCTCCCCGGCGCCAAGCTCTTTCGTTTCTCCTCTTCTCGCACCAGACCTCGGTATAAATCGCGTCTCCAGCCTCAACGATCGTTGGCGACGTCTCCCTCTCGAAACATTTTGTCTTTATTAGGCTTTTATATTTGTTCCTTATTCACACACACACACACACACACACACACATATATATATAAGTTATGAAGAACTTGGTAATCCGTATGGGTAATCCTGTTACGTTTTTTTGGGTATATGACCTATATAACTAGTGAGCGAGTCAGAATGACTTATTTCCCTTTATAGTCGACTAATAGAAGGTTGACCAATCAGAAGCCGCACAAAACTGTATTCGTCGTGTATAAAGGCGGCCATCTTTGTTTCTCCTATCGGAAGGACCAGAGGAAACTTGTCCGGCGAACATGACAGACGGAAGAACTACGCTCTGCTACGATATCCACTGCGAACCTGCACTACGCTTTCCTACTGTCTCCGAAATATTCACTGCCAACCTCTGGATTCTATACTCGAGGACGACCGTCATGAAAATGTCTAACAAATCCCAAGGGGGATGAAATCCTGAGAGCTCAATGTAAATCCAGAGCTAATATTTAAAAGAAAAAAAAAGGACTCTGGTGAAATAAATTATTATAATGGTACCTTAAAATTTGTTTTGTATTTTCTTTTATATATATATATATATATATATATATATATATATATATATATATATATATATATAATAGTATTGCTCGAAGAAACTGTTATTCTTGTGTGCGTGACATGCACAGAGGTGGGTAGCACTTGCCAACAATCGCTGACGCTGACGAGGTGATTTACACCGAGGGCTGGAGCGGATAGGCGAGGAAAGACGAAGGTATGCCGCCGGAAAGATTCACTTTTTTCATTCAACCTTCTTTAAATCTTTTATTTATTTCTATATTTCCGCTTAGTTTTTGTTTATTTCAATTCTTTTCACTTTCTATTCTTTAGTTTTGTATATCATTTTATTCCTCTTGGTTTTTCCTTCATCTTCCTTTTCTCTGTATCTCTCTCTCTCTCTCTTTCTCTCTCTCTCTCTCTCGTTATTTACTTGTTTTTTCTTCTTTATTTTCCTTCCCATTTTTATTATCTTCGGCATTAAATGATCTATAAAACAGTTGATATGCCGTTAAACAAACAAATTAATCAACAAATAATAAATCTAATTCTCCCAGGATAGCTTCAGAGTAAAGGTGGAATAAATATGATGAGAAGACACATCCTTGTCTCCTCTTTTTACTTTTGTATATTTACTGAGTTCATTTTCTTGTGCAGGCAGTTTGTCCCCAGTATAAATTCTGAATTATTTTAATGTCCTTTCCAATTATATGAAGAAAATTAAATTTCGGTATTAAATGACCTATAAAAAAGTTGATATGCTTTTAAAGAAACAAATCAATCAACCAATAATAAATCCTGGTAGGACTTGTAATTCTCTCAAGACCGCTTCACGATAAAGATGAAATAAATATGATGAGAAGACACATTCTTGTCTCACACCCCCTTTTACTTTTGTATATTTGCTGAGTTCATTTTCTATCAGTGTGCAGGCATTTTGTTTCCAGTATAAATTCTGGATTATTTTAATGTCTTTCCCAATTATATTAACCTTACCTAGCAGGTTAGATCATTGTTGCATTCCATATAACTTATAGTCTTTCAGACTGGTTACAGAATCGAGAGTGGGGCGTATAATTTTATTTTATATAATAATACAAACAATATACAATTTATAGTAAAATTACCAACATGAAAGAACTCTTTCATGACATTAATCTTTATAATATCCTACAATTTCTTAAAGAAATCAAACTCTACTCCAAAATATAACTACAAAAATACAACATAAAACAAATATATCACCCTTTTAGTCATTGTGTCCGCACAAACATGTATATACACAAAAGCTGAGTATCTGTTATACTGGAACATACCTATTCTATTGTTAATAGACTCTCCCACCTATAATAAGTAGGAGTAGCAGTAGTAGCAGTCGCTCAGTGAGTTGGTGAGTCAGTCGATGTCGGACATTAAAAAATCAGCCACCACAACTAGATTGCTGCGTCATTACTAATTATATCAAGTCCGTCGAACCTTTTTAGGACCGACTTAGTGAAATACAAGCCTCCACTGTGAAACTACTCTATAACAGTATCATCTACCATGTATTTAATTGTGAAAGCAGAATAACATATCAAATATTTCTATTATTTCAAATCCCCAAAGAAAATTAAATTTTGGCATTACATGACCCATGAAGGAGTTGGTGTGCCGTTAAACAAATCAATCAATCAAACTATAACTGAGCGTTAGCGGAAATCGGGAAATGGAAAGGGAATGGTTTTCGTAGGGAAAAGAAAAGCCCAATCCAGAAGATTAAAGATTCTAGCAATCCTAAAATATTGAGACATTTCCAATAGCAGCAACGAATATTGACAAAGTTGCTAGAAATTTTAAAATATCATTGACATCAAATGCTAGCACGAAATATAAAAAGAAAACCTAATACATCTCGAGAGAATATGCAAATTAATTAATTAATTAATTAGAAGAAGAAGAAGAAGAAGAAGAAGAAGAAGAAGAAGAAGAAGAAGAAGTTTGTTTGGTTGGTTTCTTTTACGGCATATCAATCTTTATTGCTTGTAATATTTTTTTTTCCAAAAATGTATTGCTGATAATATTTTTTTCCAAAAATCTAATGCTGATAATATTTTTTTCAAAAAAATGTTTTGCTGATAATATTTTTCAAAAATGTATTCCTGATAATAATGTATTGCTGGTAATAACTTTTTCTTCAAATATTTATTGCTGGTAATTATTTTACAAAAAACGTATTTCTGGTATTAAAATCTATTTTTACACTTTCATAGTCTTTGATCCCAGTTTGAGGGTTAACTATTTGCTCATACCTTGGACCCTAACAGGTCCTACCACCCCGAGTCAGGGTGGACAAGGGTACACCAGCAATTAAGAGGGGGTTCCACACTCCTCAAAACCTCCTGATTAGAGGTCTTGCTGTTGAACGTAATTTATCATCTTACCCAAGACACGGATGTAGTTTATCGTCTTACCCAGGACGGGGATGTAGTTTATCGTCTTACCCAGGACGGGGATGTAGTTTATCGTCTTACCCAGGACGGAGAAGACGACAGAATTGGCTAGATCTTGGACGCTACCGGACCCGAGGACCATAGTATAAAAATGAAGAGGCGTAAATAAGTGGAAAAAATAACTGAGACACCCAAAGTTGTTTGATTGGGTGGCACATCAACACATCTATGGATTACTGAATGCCAAAATTTAAATGTATAGAACAGAATTTTATGGTTTCAACTGAATATATTTTGAACGCATGAGCATACCTCATGTTGTGCCATAGTACCTATTCTTTGGTAATGGACTCTCCCATAGATAATAAGTAGGAGTAGCAGTGGCAAGTCTGGCAGAATGGTGTTGAGCGGTCTCTGACTGCGCAGGCCTTCTGTCGAACTCACTGCATTAGCAGAGAGGAACCCGGACGAGGCTTTGCCGAAGGGCAAGGTTTCGTCCGGGGAGGTAGACAGGGCCTGAACCCGTCTAGGCGGGTTCAAAGGCTATATTTTTGGCCGGGCCTACGGGCTCGGGGATACCCACATTAAAACCGGCCTTGTGCCATATTCGGTCCTCGTGGGTGGAACGATAAATACTGAATGGTGTTGAGCGGTCTCTGGCTGCGCACGCCTTCTGTCGAACTCTCTGCATTAGCAGAGAGGAACCCGGACGAGGCTTTGCCGAAGGGCAAGGTTTCGTCCGGGGAGGTAGACAGGGCCTGAACCCGTTTAATCGGCTTCAAAAGGCTATTTTTTTGGCCGAGCCTACGGGCTCGGGGAAACCCACAATAAAACCGACCTTGTGACATATTCGTTTCCCGTGGGTGAAATGATGAATACCGAATGGTGTTGAGCGGTCTTTGACTGCGCACGCCTGCTGTCGAACTCTCTGCGTTAGCAGAGAGGAACCTGGACAAGGCTTTGCCGAAGGGCAAGGTTTCGTCCGGGGAGGTAGACAGGGCCTGAACCCGTCTAATCGGCTTCAAAAGGCTATTTTTTGGCCGAGCCTACGGGCTCGGAGAAACCCACAATAAAACCGGCCCTGTGCCATATTCGTTTCCCGTGGGTGAAATGATAAATACCGAATGGTGTTGAGCGCGTCAGTCGAGATTCGGACATTTGAAGTACCAACCATCACAACTAGATTTGCTGCGTCATTGACTATTATTTTCCAAGTTCCTAACGTTTTGTACGACATATTAGAAATACAAGCCTCCACTGTGAAAATACTCCACAACGCCTCAACTACAGATAAAATGGATTGTTGCTCATTTTAGTATATAATATATTTTTATAATTTTACTATAAAATGTATTGCTGATTATTTCGCTTTAAAAATGTATTCTTAGTAATTATACTATAAATATACAGGGTGTTTCAAAAAATTTGATATCCTTTGAGATCTAAATATCACAGAAAGTACATGATTAAGGCAAATGAAATTAAAAAGTATTAATGTTGAAGATCATAAGATTTATTCTTCCAAATCTGAATGAGAAATTCAAAAGCATGTGGATTATGTGAACGATTTCACAAATGTTCAATATGCGCACCGCCTGAGACACGGCATACGTCAAGTCGGTAATCCAGCTCCTGCCAAACACGCTGAAGCATATCTTGGGTAACAGTCTCCAGTGCTGTATTGATTCTCTGCTTGAGTTCTTCTATGTTTGCAGGAAGAGGGGGAACATAGACCATTCCCTTCACGTAGCCCCAGAGGAAAAAGTCACAAGGTGTTAAATCAGGTGAACGGGGCGGCCATTTCAGCAACACGCTGTCTTTAACACCAGCACGCCCGATCCATAAAGACATAAAAACATAAAACAAACATTAAACATAAAGATGCTATTAAAATTTGAAGTCATTTGAAGGAGATCTAACAAAGTTATTAGATTGCGAAATGATATCAAATTTTTTGAAACACCCTGTATATTGTTTGTAGTTTTACTATAAAAATCTATTTTTATACTTTCATAATGTTTTATTTTTGTTTGGTGGGGTCACTGTTTGCCCATATCTGGGACCCTAACAGGTTCAACTACCCTAGGATTGAGTGGACCTGAGAACAACTAGAAATGTAAGGCGTATAATGATTATAGCCGAACCCGTAATAATAGGCGTACCATGACTCAATGCTGTAAGCGCAACTAGAAAGACGAATAAGATTTAATACTCTACAGGATATACCGTTTCTGGGGCCTTCGCTGATACCGAGTAAAGTGCTGCTTTCGCTTAATCTCTAGTGATTACGCAAGCAATCACCCCATTGCCATGTTTGTTCTTGTGGAAAGAGAGTGAAACAGTTGCCTTCTACTCTGTTTTAGTATACTGTTATTTTTCTCTTAGAACAGAGCCGAGCCTAACCTAATATAATAACTTATATGTAAAAGGAGAAGTAGTTTCATGCCTTTTTAAGGGTATTAATGAGAAGTGAATGCGCGGTTTCTGAACTGGAATTTGAACTCTAATCGATTCCGTTATACACATCGTTGGTTATGTGGCTTCATTAAAGTAATTATAAAATTGTTTAAATTCGCTGCAATTTTCTGATGACATGTATAAATTAGTAATACTGTGAACATTATTTTTAGGATACCCGTGTTTGAGTAGACGCCCGAAATTTTTTGGTTTTTATATTTAAACAGTATGTATTATGTCTACAGGCCTGCGCTACGATAAACTTAATAAAAAAAATGTGTTCCCTTTGTAGAAGAAACGATTGTTTTATCCAACCGCTCAGCCTCAGAAAGTGTCACAGCCAGCCATGATTCTGTTATCCTTTTGAAAAATGCACTTCTCGTGTGATCTTTCGTAGTTCCATATTTGCAATTATCTCATTTTTCTCTCCTCCAAGACGTAAATAAATAATTTCTAATGAATCAATAGACGGTAATAAAACTCCTAACGTGAGATGGAAAATTTTAAAAATAGCAAGGACATATAGATCTTTATATAAACCCTGAT